ACAAATTTTCAAGCAGGTTGGTCAAGTAGTTTAAAAACGAAAATATTTATCTATATACGCCTTTAACCCCCCATCCCCTCGCAACTCCACTTGGGGGTTACTTTCCAAAAACCATCTGGTATCTGATCTCTACTCTATGAAAGGAATCTATTTATCAAGTTTAAAGACTGTGCGTCTAATAGTTTAAAAATGGAAATAATTATCTATAACGCCCCTAAGCCCCCGCAATGTCACTTGGGGTCGATTTTCACTAAACTCATTTTGTAGCGGATCTCTTTCTATGAAAGGAATCTGCTTACCCAATTTCAAGATTGTACGTTGAGTAGTTTAAAAATGGAAACAATAACTTATAACGCCCCTCAACCCCCCGTAACGCCCTTTGCGTTTCAAATTTCGCAAAATCCGTTCTTATAGCTAATCTCTACTTCATGAAAGGAACATGTCTACCAAATTTCAAGTCTGTAAGATGAACAGTTCCGGAGATATCGTGATTAGTCAGTCAGTCAGTGAGTGAGTCGCTTTTCTCCTTTATAATATATAGATAATTATTTATATCTCCCCTTAACCCCTTCCCGCAACACCCTTTGGGGGTCAATTTTCCCAAAACCCATTTTGTAACGGATATTTACTCCATGAAAGAAATATGCCTACCAATTTTCAAGCTGGTAGGTCAAGTAGTTTAAAAACGAAAATATTTATCTATCACGCCCCTTAATCCCCCGCAACGCCACTTGGGGGGCTATTTTCCCAAAACCCATCTTGTAGCTGATATCTCGATGAAAGGAATATATTTATCAAATATAAAGACTTTTCGTCTCATAACTTAAAAATGTTAATAATTATCTATAACGGCCCCTAAGCCCCCGCAATGCCACTTGGGGGTCAATTTTCACCGAACTCATTTTGTAGGAGATCTCTACTCTATGAAAGGAATCTGTTTACCTAATTTCAAGATTGTACATCGAGTAGTTTAAAAATGGAAACAATTATTTATAACGCCCCTTAACCCCCCGTAACACCCCTTGCGATTCGAATTTCACAAAATCCGTTCTTAGCTGATCTCTACTCCATAAAAGGAACATGTCTACCAAATTTCAAATCAGTAGGGTGAATAGTTCCGGATATATCGTGATTAGTCAGTCAGTCAGTCAGTCAGTGAGTCACTTTTCTCCTTTATATATATAGATATATCTTGTTTAAATTTTCAATCGTTAAAATAATACTTTCTTTCATCCATTCAAATTCAAATACATTTTTTTAAACTTATAGTGGATGATACTTGATGTTAATACAGTTTTTCAAATATTAATTCATGAATTAAATTAAAAAATGAATAAATAGTAACAAACACACACAAAAATAATAGTTCAACAGCATACATAGAAAGGAAAATCTTTTGCTGTGCCCTGTAGCACAAGGACAGTGCGTTGGACTTCTAATTCAAAGGTAGTGGGTCCGAATCCCACATGGAATGGCCTTATTTCTGAATGTGATTTCTCTGTTACTTAAAATTTAATTAATGAATAAATAACAAACAAAACAATTAGTCCAACGCATTTATAGAAAGGAAAATTGGCTTTTATTTTGTCACTTAATATTGTGATTCTTTCATATGTATATACATTTTTATATTAATTGTAACTATTTAATAAAAAAGTAACTAAAATAAAAGTTTTCTTTGTTGACTTAAGTAGGAATTGACTTTAAAAAAATTCTTATATTATTTGTTCTTCATTTAAATTCTGCTTTAGTTCATATTTTTATTGCCAACTTGTCGAATCACTGTCTTCATGTTGAGCACAAGTCCAATACAGAAAAGCAAACTTTTAACGGAATTCGACAACTTTTTGAAGTTAGTGAACTCTTCTTTTTTATGTTAATTGCTTCTAAATTAAACTGTAAAAAAGTTTATAAAAAAAGCTAATTGAAGCACATAACTTTGGCCGATACGATCTGTACGTATACACCGATAGAATATAAATGATTCTCTAAACTGTAAAATCTATACCCTGGAGTGGCCAACGCGCAAGATTCAAAACAACTATTCGAAATGTAAATATTTTTCGTATTACTGATGTGTAACATTTTTCCTCTCGGTTGCTGGATATTTGTGGTAGTGATTTCGTGAAAAGGGACGGAAATGCGTAACAGGAAACCGGGGAAGTAAGCGCTATTTGATTCGACCAATGAGCGCGCGCGGTTGCGTCGGTCGACTTATTCTGTCCCCCCCCCCATAGTTTATTTACTAATGATGACCTGCTTTGGACTGGGGAGGGCTTACAATCCCCATGAAAATACTATGGTGCCATTTTTCTATAAGGGGGGGGTGATATTAGGGGGGGGGAATGATAGTACTACCTGTTTGGTTAGGAAGTACAAGGACTAAACCCCACACAGGTGCCTCCCTGGACAGCATTTTGCCAATACACCTGAGCCTCTCAGTCCACTCGGACCTAGCTCTTTTGATCCCTCTGCCTCAATTGTATATTCTCACCAAACTTCTTGCTCATTGGGTCATTCCTTGTATTTTATTTCAACGTTTTAAATGTAATATCTTGAAATGTATTTAAGTCTCTGCTTTGAGATTTGAACCACAGGTTCCCCTCCGTGAGACCCATCCATTTATCCACTTAGCCCTCTTTTGGTAGACCTAGGGGGGCTCCAGCACTAAAATATCGTCCGGATGTTATTTTTTTGTGTACAGTGTTGTGTTTTGTAACAAATAAATCCCAAAGCTGTTTTTACTTTATCTCACGTTGCCTCTGTTTTAATCCAGTAAATATTTGTATTGGATATAAATCTAATATAAAGATTAATACTTTTATATGCGGCCCACGGGATTATAATGCTTTTCCGAATTGGCCCACAAAGTCATTTGGGTTGGTCACCCTTGATCTATACGATCTTACGAACTAGGTCGAATCATAACGTCAAGTATCCCACATCGCCTTAAAAAATCACATCAAAAAATAGCATAAAAACAGGTTTAACTATATTCAAAACAAATATGATTCGATTACGGACTTCGACAAGTTTACGTCGCACAGTGAAACAACACGAAGGCTATTGGCAGCGGACCCAGCTTACATCTCCCTATTCTAACTTCCACATCACATTGTGGCTGGGGTAGCCTAGTGGTCAAGCTAATGGACTCGTCATGAGCTCGAACCTAGTACCGCCGAAGACCCACCGTATAGAAGAGCAGTGCTCATTGTTGGAAATTAAATGTTAAATGAATAGATGGCGCTGCAAGTCATCTGAGATATATACTTTATTTAGCTTGTAGAGAGAGAGTCAGAGTTATTTAATGTTCTTCGTGCTGTAAACATGTCTTCTATGTGAATCGTCCAATAAACAAAAATGCTAAAAGATGGACTATATTATTGAAATGATATAAAAATATAATGGAATCGTCTAAAGTACCAATGGAATAAAGGATTAAGAATTATAACACACGTTATATCTGTCTAGAGCTCAAACGTCCTCCCGTTGGTGCATTGTGATAGTTAGGAGAGGGGATACTAGCTAAGGTGTCGTCCTCGTCCCTTGACCATGGTTCAAAATTAGGAGCAGAGACGTCTTAAGGCATCAACCAACTGGGTCCGGGCTTCCACCACAGTAGGAGCTTCGTCTCGTTCAGCCTTGATAAGATAATGATTCGAATAATTCCAACAGTCAATGGTTTTTTTTCCGGTTGTATTCTTTGAAAAACCTGTAATTTCTTCCGATATGTCAACTGGGTATATGTGATGACCGTTGTCCATGCATAGGCCGAGCCAGTTTGGGCGATAGTACATCATGCACATTTATTTGTTTTCAGGTTACCGTTTGTACAAGTATTTGACAAAGCATACAATATACTATCTGCTTTTAAGGGTTATATGTGGGCCTACAATTATGTAGGGTCCAGGGCCTACTTTAGTGCAGGATCCCCGGGCAATTTTCTCCTAGGTCCAAAGCCTACTTTTACGTAGGGGCCCGGGCCTCAATGAGTCTTAAGACGGCACTGATTACGAGGTCTGTCACCAAAAGCCCTCGTGTAGCTGATCAGTGCGATGTTGATATTTTCACTCATTCACTTCACTTCGCATTAACAGGAGGACTTTGAGCTACGATAGATTTTCTGTGCATCAGGCCCTCGACACAGCGGGTCTTCAGTGACATTAGGCATCGAACATGCGGCTCAATAGCGCTGGCCACGAGTTCCTGACTATGATCTCTAGGCTACCACGGCCACATGCAATTTCGGAAGACAAACATAAATTAAAGCCGCCCATCCGGTATAGTGGTCAGTGAAGCTGACTGCGGTGCCGAAGGGACTGGGTTCGAATCCCGGAGAAGGCATGGATGTTTGTGTTGTAATCCTTTCTTCTGTCTGTGTTGTTTACCCCCGTGTTATACGTTCGGTGGTGCACGGGGTTTATAAATGTTAAAAAAAAAAAAAAAAAACATAAATTAAAAATGCAATTTTGCATTACATTTTGAAACAATTTTTTTTTTAAAATTTGAAAGCACTTCAAGTAACATATAGGGAGGCAGCTTCAGATTTTTCATTGAAGCAGAAAGATTTGACCAATGCAGACTATAGATCTTCATAAGAAAATACACATTTTTATCTTCTACTCCTTTTGTTATTATTTCCTTTTATTCCATCAAGTTGACCGAATAAATTGAAGATAAAGGAAGTTGCATTGCAACTCGCGCATGGTAAAAGTAAACATATTTTAAAAAATTGTTAAATTAGAATATATGTGATGGTTATCCATGGAAAATATTTAACACTTTTAGAAGATGGTGACATAAGTAAACACTAACAATTTAGAATAAGTTTATATCAATTTATGTACTTAAAAATATCTAAGTAAACATAGAGATTTACTTATAATATCCACAAGTTATTGTTCTTTTAAATAAAAATTTCATTCAAAGAAAATTAACATTAAAAAAAACACATCAAACCTCAAATTTCATCTCCAAATATTAGGAATTTAATAAAGTGAGTAAATGGTTTATTCCATTTCTGAATTTAGTTGTAATATGCTTAATTAAATAGGGTAGGGGAGAGAGAAGTTTGTTAAAAGAAGACTCAGAAATAATAGTCCGTTCGCAGTTGGAAACAACAACAACAAAAAATTATTAGAGTAAACATCATTTTTGCTTTTTGTACTCGTAGTGCAACTCTAACTTCAAAATTTAAAATCATTTTAACTGATTTTTCGTTTGGAGCACCTAGGGCTTTTATCTCCTATCTTGTATGGTTAATGCATGAGTGTTTATTGCTTGCCCATGTTTAAGTTTTTAGAAAGAATTTATTGCTAAGTGATATGAAAAATAATTAAATTAAGTTAAACTAAATTAGAGTACATTTAAATAGATTAAAGAAGTTAATTTAAAAAAGCAGAAGCTTTTCGCGAGAACTATGAAGGAGAAAATTAAAATTACTGATAATCTCTCTCTCAGAGATTTAATAATTACTCGCGATTCCCTCGGCCAATAAGGGCCTCGGGAGGTTGTACTGCCCACACAATGGGGTAACAGCTATTCGTGTCATGTTGTGGCTGGGATGGTGTTGGGTTTTGTGTGTGAGCTCCTTTCCCACGTAGCGAGAGGGAGTGTTCTGATTGGAAGTTGTGTTAATGTGGTGGCTTCGGTCCCGGGAGGGGTACCATCGCCGTGTCGGGATGTGAGAGCTTCTAGCGAACCTTACGGTCAATGGGTTCTCTGATTGAGGCTATTACTTTGTAATGATAAAATCATTATAAAGTAATAAGAGAGTTTACACAAGAATTGATAAATCTTTCCAAACAGGTGTTGCCAGATCAGAAAATCTAAATTTATAAAAACAAAGATTATATGGACTAGTTCTACCGTAAAGCTTACTATGGAGGCGCTACAGTCATTAGTACCCTTTTCTTTTTCCGGTTAATGCAAGATCTCCATTGCTTTGAGCTAAAAAATTTACAAAGTATTTTAGAAAAGATACTGAAATAAATACAATAAAATCATGAATCTGAAATCTACAGATCATCTTCTATCCATATAGTGCAAAATTTTCAAAAACTTGCATTAAAAGTTTGAAAAACTCAGTTGAATTTCGATGTTTTCCCATTGATTAACATTACACTAGAAGTAAGTGAGGGTTCCACTCAATGTTGTTGTTTACAAAGTAGAACTTGTATAATTAATAGAAATAATTATTTTCATTTTACAACTTATTTTTGTAAATTTTCCTTTTTTCCCAACAAAATAGAAATTACAGAATAAAATAATTATTGCTTAAATTCGTCAACAATTTTAGTTAAGTAGCATTGAATTCATTTTATATATTCACTAGCTGACCCGACAGACTTCGTCCTGTCAAAAAGATTTGTAATGTGGCAGTTTTTGTGCCTACGTATTTTAAAAAATTCTCCTGAACAGAACCGTCACCCTGGTGATAGGTGTTGTGATTAAAAAATAATTAAATAAAACATA